GATTAGGGATGGTGTGATGTGTACTCCAGCCTGCTTCCAACAGATGGAAGTCACTAATATTCTCAAAAGAATGGCGTCAGGCATGATGGCTCACATCTGTAATCCCAGTACTTTGGGAGGCAGGTGGATCACCTGAGGTCAGGAGTTTAAGACCAGCCTGGCCAACATGGTGAAACCCCATTTCTACAAAAAAAAGCAAAAATTAGCCGGGCGTGGTGGCGGGCACCTGTAATCCCAGCTACTCAGGAGGCTAAGGCACAAGAATCACTTGAACTCAGAAAGCGGAGGCTGCAGTGGGCCAAGATCACACCACTGCACTCCAGCCTGGGTGACAGAGAGAGACTCTATCTCAGAAAGGAAAAAAAAAAAAAAGATTGGGGCCAGACAGAGTGGCTTTCCAGCCCTTCAGGAGGCTGAGGAAGGATGATCACTTGAGGCCATGCGTTTGAGACTGGCCTGGGCAGCATAGTGAGACCCCATCTCTACAAAAAATTTTTAAAAACTTAGCCAGGTATGGTGGTTCATGCCTGTAGTCCCAGCTACTTGGGAGGCTGAAGCAGGAGGATGGCTTGAACCCAGGAGTCTGAGGTGGCAGTGAGCTGTGATTGGGCCACTGAGCTACTTGGGAGGCTGAAGCAGGAGGATGGCTTGAGCCCAGGAGTCTGAGGTGGCAGTGAGCTGTGATTGGGCCACTGAGCTACTTGGGAGGCTGAAGCAGGAGGATGGCTTGAGCCCAGGAGTCTGAGGTGGCAGTGAGCTGTGATTGGGCCACTGAGCTACTTGGGAGGCTGAAGCAGGAGGATGGCTTGAGCCCAGGAGTCTGAGGTGGCAGTGAGCTGTGATTGGGCCACTGCCCTCCAGTCTGGGCAACACAGCAAGACCGTCTCTAAAAACAATAATATGAGCGAATGAGGCAGGTACTGAATGAAGGAACTTGTAGCAGGCGCCGTCTGGGAAAGAAGTAAGGCTACCTGCGGAATCTGGTTCCAATTATTAAAACGACTGTCTGTTATCCCAGCACCCACGTCTGCTGAGCACTTACCAGGCTGTGACCTGCTTCTACCCACAGCATCTTCCTCCATCCTCAGAACAGGCCCAGGGGAAACTGGGCAAGTCAGTACACAGATGAGGAGCCGGAGCCCAGGGGTGCACTGAGACTCCCTCAAAGTCATCTGCAAGTTGCAGGTAGTTTCAAACCAGCACCCAGGTTTCATGACTCCTCATCTAAGAGTCTCAGCAAGGGCTGAGATGCATGTGAGAATCCCCAGAAACATGTTTCCAGTGTATAGATGCCCCTACTGTGTGTAACGTCCCATTCCCTTTGATAGCTGTGGCTATGGAAACCCTCTGAATCTTCACCTGATTTTGTGCCCAGCGCCGTGTTAACCACAGAGGGCCATCAAAAGCATCCCTACCCTCCTGGTACTAGTATTGAAGGACCGATGCGCACGGCCTGCATTAGAATGGGATGAGGTATACGCTAAGAACCTCTTACAGTAGTGCATCTTACAATAGCCACACTGTCCTATGTCGGAGATTCTTTTTTTTTTTTTTTTTTTGAGACAGAGTCTCACTCTGTCATCCAGGCTGGAGTGCAGTGGTGTGATCTCGGCTCACTGCAACCTCTGCCTCCTGGGTTCAAGTGATCTCATGCCTCAGCTGCCCAAGTAGCTGGGATTATAGGCACGCACCATCACACCCAGCTCATTTTTGTTATTTTCTGTAGAAATGGGGTTTCCCCATACTGGCCAGGCTGGTCTCGAACTCCTGACCCACAGTGATCTGTCTGTCTGGGCTTCTCAGAGTGCTGGGATTACAGCCGTGAGCCACCACGCCTGGCCAGAGCTTCTTAATGTATATTTGTAGAATGAATAAATCAGTGAATCGGTGACATAAGAGAGGCAGAGATGACTATCTGGGGCCATCAGGGAAGGCTTCTAATCACCATTCAGATTGGACAGTTTAAAGCATGGCCACTCAATGTGTGTAAAATGCCTCGTAATGGTTTATTCTTGTTATAGCTATCTCACTTCTAGGAATCTCTCCCTAGGGACTTGTCAGGATTAAAAAAAAGACTTGTATTCAGTGTGTGTTTGTTTATGTTCAATAGTGTAACCGTTAATTGTGGAAATGTGTGTAAATGAGATCGGTCCATCTACGTGGTGGAATGTTCTCAGGCATTAAAAGTCTGTTGTCAGAGCACACTTGCCGACTGGGGAAAGAACTACATGGTTGGATTATTAAAGGGAGAAAGGCTTTCAAAAGGACCACATCCAGGAAAACCCCAAATGTGTAAAAGTGCACACTCATGTGTGCGTGTCTATAAAATAATAACAGTGCTTCTCTTTGGGGTGAGATTAGGTAACTTCTTAATTTTCAATTTCCATATTTTCAAAGTCCAGTTTTAAAAAGCAGAGGCCTTTCTCTCACTGGGTCTTCAGGGACTTTGGGGGTTTGTAGATCTGGCATAAAGCCCTTTATTTTGAGTTTTTCTTCTGAGCACACAAAAGCTGTGTCATTTATACATCTTCGCCAGAACCTGCAGAGGCAGTGGAATTATTATTAAATGAAAAACAAGACAAGGGACATCCTGCTTACGCTGCATGCGGGCAGACCCCTACGTAGCTTCCTCGGGTAGCAGTGAGGTGGCCGCCCAGGGGACAGCCCAGCCCTCCTCCACCCCCGCTCAGCTGGCTGGATGTTCACGGTGCCTGTTCCTGACCTCTTGGCAAATGCACCTGTTAAACAACCAGCTGCAGGGAGGAGGCTGGAAGAGTCGGGGGTGCAGGGGACTGAGGGGGGACTGAATTTCCGCAGGAGAAATAAGCAACCTGCAAGTGGCACTGGCTGTCTCCTCCCTCCCTGCCTCACTGCCCTCTCAACCTCCTCCTTAAGGAGAGTCTTCTGGAGGTGAGGCCCGGCCAAGGGCCCATGTTCTAGGAAAAGGGGCCCCCAATGAGAGCTCACCCTGCCCGGTGGGGCGGCATGTTCTCGTGTCTGTAGCAGGGTTCCTGTGTGCCAGCTGGGCTTGCCAACTTCACTGAGTGCTGGGAGCCATGAATCTGTTGTGTTCACTGCAAGCAGCAGGGTGACTGTGCAGGGGTGTGCAGTCAGGGTTTGTTCAATGATCATTTGATAAATGTTGAGAAGGAAGGAAAGGGCTTGAAGACGACTCATCTCTTAGAAACAAGCCTTAGGAGGCTTGAGAGCCAAGGCTGGTCAGTGGTTGCGGAGGTCAAGGTTATGTGCACAATAAGCCCAGGGCATGGGTCTGGCCCTGCATGGGCCTGGTGCTCCTTCTCCACTGAGAAGAGGGACTCAGTCCCAGCAGGTGTTTGGTGAATGCAGACCTGTGGTCCTGTCAAGGGAGTCTGACGTTTGCGCACACTCCAACCGGGTTTCTGTTGTTGCTGCCTCTTCTCCCAAAGCTGATTAATTGATTGGTTGATTCATTCATTCATTCGGCTAATATTGGTTGAGCACCCACCATGTTCCAGGTTCTGTTCTAGCTGCTGGGGTTATAGAACAAGAGACACCCATGGGTGTTAGGAGCACTGCAGCCTTTGACAGGCCAATGCATGTGTACTCCCAGCGCTCTGTAGCTTTAGAAGGGTCTCTAGAAACAGCGCCTTTAGCTAGAAAAACAAGTGGGCCTGTCAGACACTGCAACAGGCCCTGAATGGATGAGGAGGCATTTTCTGCGTCCGGGTGCAGGGGTAGCCTGACCTGCTATTGCTGTGCTTTTCATGACCTTCCAGTACCAGGAGGGTCTGGCCAAGGGCATCCTGAGGCCAAGGGAGGCAGAATGGCCACTGACTACTGGTTCATGTCCTCCCCAAGACAAAGAGACAGGATCAAAAAGTATGGAAAGGATAAAAGTCATAATAAGAACAATTTTGATGGTTTAATGGTTTGAGAGACAGATATACCTCAGATTATACATGTCAATAGTTTTTCCACTAATGAGAAGTTACTTCTGATGGCCACACAACACATATCCTTCCCACCAGCCTCTTCAGAGAGGAGAGACTCTGACATGAACTGGTGACAAGGTATGTTATGGGCCATGACAGGCCAGCAGAGAACTGAGAGAGTTTTGGATTGGGAGGAGTTAGGGCGTTAGAAACAATTCCGTAATAGATGCTGCCTCTCCATTCTCTCTTCTTCAAGAAAAGGATCAGGTTGGCAGCACCCCCACTTGCTCTTCCAGTTGAAGGCGGTATGTTTAGAAAACCCTGTGGCTTCTGCTCAGTTTACCCGAAGGAAGGCCAGTAGGTCTTGTCTAGGATTTGGCGAGAAGAAAAGCAGGGAGCCTGGGAGGTGAGCATGTCCAGGCAGGCACGGCAGAGCAGGAGGCAGGGATGCAGAGAGGGTTTGCTAGGAGTGAAGAGTGAGTGTTTGCTTTGAGTGGCCACGCTGCCCTGTTTCGGGGCTGTGGAGCACTCAGTTGATTGGATGGATGTGGCATCAGCACCTAGGATGGTCCCTCATTGCTGCCCAGGGCAATGTGTCTGCAGTGGAAGGAGACTGTCCTCAAGGGAAGGTGCTTCCCTCGAAGACCTTTCCTGGTTCTGATCTGTTTTTGCTTTCTTGTCTGAACATGCCCAGTTACAACTGAGACAAGCACTCCTGTAACGGGGGCACATGCATCCAGGCCCAAGCAGGCTGCAGTGGCTGCAAATCCCCTTATTTTGTGTGAGCCCCAGAAACACTGGACTGAGGGAGGGCAACAGCAGATAGCACACTATCACCACAAGCTTCTCCATACTCTTCCCAGTGTTCAACTCTCAGGGTGCAAGTCCAGGGACTCGGGGACTTAGCTGACACATCCACTCACTCCTGGCTGGTCTTCAGAACTTGTTGGGGGCCCAGTGGGAGGTCCTGAGAGGCCTGGGGGGCTAGACTGGGCCAAGGTGTTGCTGTAGTGAGAAGCACCCGCCCCCAGGTCTTGAATCACTTTCTCCCTAGGTACTGGATAAAGAGGAATTCGCGACTCTGGGTAGAATAAAAGTGAACATTTAATGCCACCACAGTTTGATTCTTTTAAACACCAGGTTCTTTTCTGACAACATTTTACACCTCATATGCCACAAAAAGAGATCGCAGCCAGCAAACAATGTCTACACTGGAAATGCCACACAGCTTAATGGATTCATGTCCCCAGTTTGGGAGAACTATAACGCTTTTTTCTTGACTGTTCTCCAGGGAGCCTGCTCATACATTTATCATGATCAAGCCAACACCTAACTTTTATGTATCTATGCAAAGGCCCATGCACAAAACCAGCCTGCAGGGGGCTGTTGGGACCTGCCCAAGTACAGAAGAGTTTAATTTCTGACTTTAACAAATGAGTTTTATTGAAGAATTTGAACAGCAAACACTTGTGAACTAGTAATTTTTTAAATGGCACCAATCACCTATCTGGTTGAACAGTGGATCTCAGACAGTAACATTCAGCACTACCATTGAACTGTCAAACAAGACTTCATAAACTTACTAGGAATTTGCTGTTTCTGGCACAATAAATGCACCTGGGCAGGCCTTGTCTCCAATTTTCCAGTGGGCCCATTTCTACAGATAAGCATATTTATATATACATACATATATCACTAATCGTGGACTCAGAGACCTGGAGCTCGAAGGAAGCGCAAAGATCAGCTAGCACAGCGTCTTCATTTGACAGGTTAGAAAACCTGTTCCAGAGAAGCCAGGAACTGGGTCCCGGCCAGGACCTGAGTCAAAGCTGGAGCCAGAACTCAGGTGTTCGGTCCTGTGTCTTTCTCCATGTCAAGTGCCTCCTGTACACACGCACCCATGTGTGTGCACACACGTTAGATGAATGACGTGTGTGTTCATGTCGGCACAGACCTGGTGCAGCATGATCGAATGGGAAGAATCCGGGCAGCTGGACTCAGGTCCCAGTTTGGCTATGAAACCACTCTGAACTTGGGCCGGTCAGTGGCTCCTGACTTCAGTTTCTTCATCTGTAAATGACTGTCCCCAGCTCCGAGGCAGAGCTTCAATTTCTTCAAAGCACTTCCCGTCACTTACACCATTTTCTCTTTATGTTATCCTAGAAGGGCAGCTGTTCTGACCCCTGTCTTCCACTTGGGAACCTGAGGCCCAGCAAAGTGAAGACACTCGCCCCAGGTTGCAGAGCTAGTGACAGAACCAGGCCTGGTGACCCAGTTTCCTTGTTCCTAGCTCAAGGCTTTTGCTCCTAAGTTCAGCCACCTCTCAAATAAGACTACTGACCCTTGATACTCAGGGATCCAGGAGGGGACAGAATGCCTTAAGGTTGTCAGACTCACTAAAGTGCTTTGTTTTTTCCAGAAAAGAAGCAAAACAGGTACTGTTTATATCCACGTTGCTTTCCCAAACTCCCTTCAGCAGCCCCAGGGGCAGGATGGGAGTTGTGGGTAAATGTAGGGAACTAATACTGTCAGCACTTTCCTCAGAAATTTAATGTTGAACCAGGAGGAAGAGGTTGGATCCTCTTCCACACAAGCCTGTGGGAGTGGATTTCCAAGCCCATTCTCATCAAATTCAGAATGAAGGGATCTTTCCTATCCAGCTACTTACTACAGAAACAGCTTAGATTTTGAACTCAGCCCTGTACCTTGAAGATTGGACCCTAATCCTTATTCTCTTGATTTATCTATCCTTCCCTATCCCCCAGGCCATGACTCCATGAACAGACTTTGCTAGAGTGAGAAAAACATAGAAAAAGATAGCCACAGACAGATCTAGCAAACCTCCACTTCAACGCGTAGCGCTTGGGTAGCATTTCCAACCGTGTCGTGTAAACAAAGAACACAGGCAGTGCTGTGGGACAACATCCTGCATTTACACATAAATTATAACTTCTTCAGAAATCGAGTATGACGATGCGGGCTGTCAGCAGCTTGGCGAATGAGAGGAGGCGGCTTTGTCAGTGCTGAAGGTAATTGCTGTGTGTGCATGACATAGATGTGAGTGTGGCATTTCAGCACATGCCTCCACACATGTGGATACTGGGAACCACTGTGTTTAGAGAATGTGGATTGTATCAGCGAAGGCTCCATACAGCCCTGCGCCCCACTATGTCCAATATTGTGACATCACTGCAGGTTCTAGGTAGGGCCTCCAAAAGCGGAATGTACTTGTTTAGGGAGGGATAAATTAGCTTCTAGGAATTTTTAGGAAAAAGCATTTTTGCTGCAGTCACTTCTCCTGGATTGGAATTATGCTTGTATGATTATGGAAATCATGAACAGGCTGTAATTTTAAAATGTGTCCCTTTGTCAGGAAGATTGCTAAGTGATACACTTTATGAGTTGTTACCCACCAATGTAGACCGATACTTTCTGGAGGTGGAAAAAAGAGACATTAGAATCCAAAGAAATGCTGCATCCCTACCGCCTGTCCCCTTAGCCCCCTGAATTTTAGAGCCATTTACATGCATCAGCCACACTGAACACCCAGCTGTTTCCTTTGGCGCAGAGAAAAGTGGGCTGCACTGGCCTTTCCACCCCACCCAGAAGACTCCCATGTGGTGGCATTGAAGAGTGTCCCTCAGTGAGAGGACAGCTGGGCCTCACACCCTGGCGGCAGCCTGGAGGCCCAGGGACAGTGGCAGCAGACGGCTTAGCCTCAACTAATAGCGAGCAGGACTTTCAACCTGTCAACCTGTTTCTCACTGGCAAGGTCTCAGGGTTTAAGACATACTGTCATCAAAAGCGAGGGACTCTTTTTGTCTGAGCTCCAATAGTGTGTTACTAGTCCAGCAGGAAAGGACAGTGAGCAAAGGCAGGAATCCTTCCATTTTTAGTTTGGAAATTAACTCATCTTTAGTCATTGGTTTTACGGTCTAAAATCCTTTTTGGAATAAGAAACCTAAAAACACTCGCTATAATCAGCAGCGGCCGCTGGTCTAGGTGGCTGCATTTGCATTGAACAAATGTGCAGACCCACCAGCCTTGCCTTCTACCCACAGGTGGCTGCTTTACAGGGACATGAGACACACACCCAGGTGGGCATGACTGCATTTTTTGTCAACACAAACAGAACTCTGAGCAGCAGGCATGAGATTTGCAGGTGTGTGTAAGGTGTTTTGAACCTCCACCCTGGATGGTGGATGCGGCCGGACTGAAGTCACTGCCACCTTATAAGAATGTATTCGACTTCAAGTTTAAGGCTAATTTGCAACAAACCGGGCCAGGTTCCTGCCTGTGGAATTCCCCATGCTGCCATGTATGGCTGTTGATCCCTTCTTGGGCTCAGGGCTCCTGGTACGATTCCCACCTTTGTCACGATGGGACACATCTCTGCATTTGCATCTTCACGCTCCCCCACGTTAAGGATGGCAGTTGGCAATTAAACACCAGGCAGGGTGTTCCGTTCAAATTCGGAAGAGATGGAAGTTAGAGACAGCTTCCTCATGATGTCGAGGGGAATTCAAGGACAAGAAGATCCAGTTCGCAGCTCTTAGGTGGGGTCCGTGAGCCCGTGACAAAGCACGCCACCGCTCCCTGGCGGCAGGCAGCCCCATCATGAAATGCAATGCAGACTTACTCCCAGGGAAACGGTATCACCATTGCCCTTTGTTAGATCTTAGTTTTGCTCTGCTGCTGCTGCTACCACCTCACACTCATGTATTTGGAGCAGGGTCAGGAGGACAGGTTTTAGACAAGGAATTAAGACCTATGCATCTAAATGTTAATTTTAAATCCACGTTTTTTTTCTAGTCCCTTCATTTGTGGGTAATTTAGAAATGGGCTCTTAGACATTTCCCTTGCCTTCTGGGTTACCTGTCACCAAAACCGACAGGAGACCTGGAACACTCTCACCTCTGGCCACTGTAAGAGGCATCCTTCAGCTGTTGGGGTGCTTCAGAGTGGCCAGTCATCATCCCTGTAGTCAGTGTATGGGCAGAGACGGGAACAAGCGCATCATAATGTAAAATGCATGATTTCTTCACGTGGTTTCTCAGGATTGCTAAATTAAGATGTCTGCAGCTTATTTAGGTCAAAAAAAAGGGAGAGAGGAGAGAGAAAGGATATCAGTGTAGAGTGTTCTCCTTCACATGCCTGCGGGGTCCTGCGAGGGGTTCTGTGGCTGCGTCTTGGGAAGCCAGTCTGACTTGGTAAGAGAACTCTTGGTTTCATTCAACCTTTTGTTATAGCATAAAGTTGCTACAAATGGATAAAAGCAGACAGGCAGGAGGCAAGCCGAACGCCACTCCCCCAGGAAGGATTCCTCTGGTTTCCGTCCAGGAAGGACACCAGGCCCTGTCCTCGGTATGCGAGAGTCAGTACAGCATGGCAGCCTCAGGGGAAAATGTGGCAGGGCGAATGCCAAGCTCCCTGATGACTAATCAGATGAGTTTGTTTCCAACAAAAACAGAATATGCACCTTTGAAAAGCTCCAATTAAAGGCTTTTCATGAAGTAAATGTTTGAAACCAGCAAACAGGAGATACCCAATGGAAACCTCAAAGGATCGGCTTCCCTTCTGGCCCAGAAGCTCCGAGGGTGTTTCTGTTAAGGAAGGCCACTTCCACAGTGCTGTGAGGCCGGAGGCCAGCCCAGAGCACGGGACTGTCCTGCAGAACGAGGGGAGGTGTAGGAGCTAAGGGAGGTCCAGGAGCTAAGGGAGGTCCTGCTTCCCAGGGCAATAAACCTGTCAGACTTGGGAGCTGCACAGAGGGGAGAAGGAGCCCTTCCAGGGCAGCCTCTCACCATCATTCAGCCTGTTCCACTAGCAGATCTGGGCCTGTCTGCTGTTCGCATAGGAGCAGACTCTTAGGGAAGTGCAAAGCCAGACTCATGACCCATGGAGCTGGCTTCAAAGCACAGGAGCCTGTGGGCTGCAGTGTCCAGAGACACACTGACCAGGAAATGCAGTGGGTTCTTTTCCCCTGGGGAGTGGCTAGGGCTGAGTTGTTGATTAGTGAAGACAGCCTAGCTTGCAAATAGGCTCATGAAGATATGCCGCATTTGAGGGCGAAAGGGGACCATATTCTGCAACCCCCTAAGCACCGTCCTACATGTGAAGGCTGCAGGGACTCTTGGATTCTGGGCTACACTCTCAGCACCACAGCTTTTATCAGGCAAACCCCTTGACCACTCTGTACCCCAGGTTTTCATCACTAAAATGGGGATGATAATTCCTAAGGGAATTGTTAGAGGGAGGAACATCTGAATTTGAGGTCTTGAGTCGTGGGAGCCAAGACCTGGACATCCATAGTCATTCGACTTTGCCTTTCCAGGGTTGTGAGAGAGAGTTATGGAGGGGAAAAGCACGCTCTCTCCGCCTTTGGGTTGAGGCAAAGGCTGAGAGGACACGCCTGTCGCTTCTTGGTATAGAGGCTTTGGGACACAGGAGGCTGAAATTCAGGTACTCTGGACAACAGACAAGTTGTACAGTCTCAAGAATCCTTGTTCTGATGGAATACAGTTGGAGTCTCTGAGTATGTACACACTTGACAAGGTCTCTCAGCTGGGAAAACCCACTTTAATAAATTCACAACACCAGAAAATAAGAAAGAAATATGGCTCTGGTGAATTGGTTCAAGCTTTCATTCAAGTCTTTGGAATAAAAATGAGTACGAATTTTGAGGGCCATGAAAACTGTGGATCTATGGAACCACATGTGTGTGAGGACCAAAGTGGGGCAGCTCTAGACAGAACACAGACAGCCCACCTCCAAGGAGAGGGAGGACCCAGGTGGCAAAGGACTCCTCTTCCACAGAGCTGCAGGCCCGTCTCCTCTCCTATTCTCTACAGCGCCTGCCCCACGTCAACCTTCCGGGTCTGCCCTGACCATGCTGCTCGTGGGATGTGGCATCAATGGCACCTGCTGCTGCGAACCTGCTTCACAAGCGCACACACTGGCTCGTGCTGAGGAAGTCCCATGTTCTGAGTGGCCTTACCAGAATAACCGTAGAAGACAGTTAACATTTATTCAGAAGCAATACTGATTAGGAAATATCTCTACAAACACAACTTACTTAGAAACAGCAAGTCAGAAATAGGAGAAAACACCAAGAGAAAACGAGCTGTAAATACGTTTCAAAAATGTTTCGTGGTTTTCATCCTGACTAGCACCATCTGTACGTGAGAAGGTGTGAACATAAAGGTTTGGATAATAAGGATTTGCAAGGCACTTCATCAGTCCCTCTGGGGCTTGCTTTCTTGTTCTGTGTTCCCGTTCCACAGCAATCCTACGCCCGCCCCACTCCTTTCTCACGAAAGCAAGAGAAGAGTGAGGTCTCTTCCGCTCGCAGTTCTTATGTACAAACAAGGTCTGTAAAGGTCCTCAAAGTGCTTTTTCCAGTCTCACAGGGTGTGGACATCCCTCGGGCTTCCGATCATCTTCTCCTTCCATGGGGGTTTGGCGTTTGCACCCTTCCTACAGAAAACAAAAGAAAACTCGCCTTCCGCTCAACTCTCACTCCAGACTTGCCACCAACCTTCATCCTCATTCACTGTCTCTGATGCTCCGGCACAGAGGGCCGAGGGGCGTGCGACATCTCTGAAGTCCTGGGGAGCAGGGGGACCGCTAGGACAAGCGTCTGGCTCTCTACCGGCGCCTGGAGGTGACGTCGAAGCAGGTGATCATCATGAGGTGGGCCTTGCAGAAGTTGACGCGGCTCTCCAGGCGTTCTGTCACACACTCCAGTGCCTCCAGGTACTCCAGGGAATCCAGCTCCCAAACCTGCTCCAGGTCAACTGAAGAAGAGAAAGAGCCTGATGGAGAGCAGAGCAGATGGGGCGAGAAGCACCTCCCGACTGCTCGGCCCGCAGCTGCCACCCCCAATCTACCCCTTGCATCTGACGTGCCTACCTCAGGCAACCGCAGTGTTCCCTCCTGCCCGATCCTCAGCCTCTCTTGGGTGGAATGGGACACTCTACCAGTGTTTAAATCCTTAATGTTTTTGAGATGATACTGAGCAATAAGGTGACATTCTAGCCCGCCCTCCAGCTGTCTCCATCCCAGGGTTTGAGACAGCACTATCAGCCATTAGGTAAATACTTCTTCAAGCTGAGGCGGCGACAGTCCCTCCCGCTTTGGGGAGTCTCAGTTGAATGACATTTAGACCTCTGCCTCCTTCTATGAAAGGATGATTCTGGATTCTAACCTGATGTCTTTCCTGACATTCAGGCCTGCACAGAGTAGAAAGTCTGTGTCCTTCAAAGCCTGAAGAGCAAGTATCTGGGATCACCCCTTCTGGCCTCAAGTCCCCTACTTTGTCCAGAGGTGGCTGGGCAGAGGGATGGGCTGCCTGGCCCAGGCTCCAGAGGTCCAGCAGGGTCCCAATATGAGGAGGGAAGGCATGGACAGCAGCCAAAGGTGATGGGTGGCCTGGAAACCAAGGCCAGGGGCTAGCTCTGGGGCCGGCACTGTGTCCTTCAAAGTGACTTGAGAGTGGTCATTGCTACCTGCCTGCCTTGAGTTGCTGTGAAGAAGAAAATAAAAATGAGATGAGCACAAACTTGATTTGGAAACTGTGATGCGTTATGGAAGCCTTGGGATGAGAGTGGAAGCTGTCGTCTTTTTGCAAACAAGGTCCCTGAGCTCTGGACAGTGACATGGCTCATGAGGTGACACAGGTAATCAACACTAGAGCAGGAAGGAGACTTGAGGGCCTGAATACCAGTTTAATATTTAAAAACCAAAACAAAAAAGCAAATGAGCCATCATTCTACGGCCACATCAGGCTCCATTACTGGACAACCTTGAAAGTGGCACCAGAACGAAAAGCTAAAACTCAAAATGGATCTTTCCAGCCCATTCCCTGCCTCTTGCCCACAGGGAATAGCCAGCATGCAGCCTCATTGATTCTTTTTTCATTAATGTTTTCAATTCATCTTAAAGAAACAATCTCTCCCTTTCATGTTGCTTTCTGTTCATTTTCTCTCTCGGCATCAAAAACGCTGATTTCTGACATGTACCAAGACTAGAAGGAAGCAACTGTTTGCTGGAAGCATCTAAACACATATGTATTGATGTTTAAGCTTGCTCCCATCCTGGGAAAAAATATGACTCTGTGAGATGAAGATAATTTTCAACTCTGCCTTGGGCATAAACAGTTCTTAAAAATAAAATGTTAATGAAAATAGCAAAAATGAAGGAGAACTGACTGCAAGGAGGCCCCTGGGACCCTGAAGTGGCCAGGGATTCCTGAAACAAGGAATGGGGTGTCCAGAGCAGGGAGAGGGACAAGCAGAAGGCCCCACGCACATGCCAAGGGCAGACACTCACCAGCATCCTCACCCATCTGCCCTCCCCATCAGTGCCTTGGACAAAATGCCCTCAGAGGACCAGTTCATGTCTTTGTTCAAATTTCTACCAGAAGATCCAGCTCAGTGCATCATGAAAGCAGGCACGAAGGAAATGTCTCCTTCTTTTGTAAGATGGGCTCACTCTGTCCCCCAGGCTGGAACGCAGAGGTGCGATCTCAGCTCACTGCAACCTCTGCCTCCCTGGTCCAAGTGATTCTCCTGCCTCAGCGTCCTCAGAGTAGCTGGGATTACAGGCACCCGCCCCCACCCCACCACACACACACTATGCCTGGCTAATTTTTATACTTTTGGTAGAGATGGGGTTTCGCCATGTGGCCACAGTCATCTTGAACTCCTGGGCTCAAGTGATCCACCCACTTTGGCCTCCCAAAGTGCTGGGATTACAGGTGAGAGCCGCCACATCCAGCCAGGAAGTGTCTCCTGTTGAGAATGTGGATGTTGTTGAACTTGGGGATGAAGATGATAATTACTACCAGGTCCTGAACTGTCATCCTGGGCCAAGCAGCATAGTGAGAACCAACAGGAGCTGGCTTACACCTCACGACCACCCTGTGGTGTCGTTGCCATCACCGTTACCATTTCACAGCTAAGGAAATCAAGGCTCAGAGTTAAGTGTCCTACCCAAGGCCCCCAGCCAGTGTGTGAAAAAGCCACCAGCCAAAGCAGGTCTGTATGGCTGTGCTCATAGCTGCAAGTGCTGCAACTGAAGACTACAGGATACTCCACAGACTTCCCCAGGAATCCAGTGAGTACTGCGGGCAATGCTACTACCTCCTTCCTGCAGAGAAGCAGCTGCTGGGAGTCTGAGCTTCCATATGGCCGGGAGGCCTACAGTTCTTGACACTTTCTTCCACCCAGGACCATTTCACCCCAATATGCTTTCAACCAGCTGCTTTGGAAGATAAACCTCAGCTTTCGGCCTCCACCTGCAGACCCCCCGCACTGGCCAAGAAGACTGGAAGGGGGAGGGGGTGGGTGCATTACAAAGGAGGCCCGCCGGAGCGGAGGGCTGCATGGGAAGGGAGGCCGAGGGAACCTGAGCGGCAGGAATGTATTTTACAGCCTGAGTCTTCCAGCGCTGCCTCTTGCATCAGTGTAATAGCTGGGACCAGGCTGAAGTTTTACTTTGTGCTAAATGGAATGGTCAGAAACAAATGAGAGACAATTGAATCCATCTTTCAAAGACAGCAAAATTGTCCTGAATTGTTACGAGATGGTTATGGTCATCTTGGGCTTCCCATTCAATGGAAACAGCACTGTGGCTGTGGTGTTATTATGATTTTTTCACTCACAAACATTTTCCTTGCTTTCTGGGTTCTCCATGTGGCTTTTCTAGGATTGTACACACTATCCTCTGAAGGGTTCTATATATTCTTGTCTATTTCAGGCTAGATATGCAGGGTGATTTTGTGCCTGAGGAGCAGATGTGTCACACAGCCTTCATGTCTGGGTGATCTGCCCCGTGCAGGGGGAGAAATCTCATTTTCATGTGCCTTGGACTGAGACCCTTAAATAATCTTGCAAGAGTGATATTCACCACCCCTCGCTGTCCCAGCCCCTCCCGCCCACCCCCAGGGGAGCAGGGCTGATCAGGTCGCTCCTGCATCTGTGACCGAGGACGTAGACTCGGCCTGTGTCACTGTCACCCTGGGCCACACGGGCCCATGAGTCACGACGATGGGACGGAACCCAGGCCTTACATTCGCTGAGCCACTTGTTGGGATCCAGCATCAGATACTGCTTGGTTGCCTCCAGCTCCTGCATCAGCCACTCGTACTTGGCACGGACCTCGGCGATCCTCTGCCGGCGGTGCTCCAGGATCTTCAGCTTTGCGTTGAAGCACATGACCTCCTAGCACACAGACAGAGGAGGAGGTGGGGTGGACAGGAGAAGAGGCCCTTCTGCTCACACCCAGCCCTCGCCACAAGGAGCGCTTATGAGTGTCGTAGATGGAAACAGGCTGGAGACGTACGAGAGGCCAAGGTGATCCCAGCCGAATTTCTGCCTCGACAGACCAGTCACTTCAGACAACTCACAAGGCAGGACTATTACAGACCATTCTTGAACTGGGAAAGCAGATGGTAGGTGTTTCAAGATGGACGAAGGCTGGTTAAGACGGGAAACCTCAAGGAGCCAGAAAAGCCCTGCAGATCACAAGACCTGCAGATCACCAGCCATGCACCCCTTGGCTTTGGAGTTAAAACATTTCAGGAGGAGAAACACGGGTCTCTCTCCAAAGCCTCTGTCCCAAGGCCCTTTGCTGGGACAGAAGCCCGCTGGGAAGGCTGGGTCTGAGCCGACTTCCCCAGGGCCGCAGCTGGCACCTGCTCAGGCTTGCTGAGAGCTGCCACCACATCGGGGCGGGGAAGGAGGAGGCTGCCTCACCTTGCTAGTGCCCCCTCGCCGCCGCTGCAGGCGCTCCACGTCATCGATTTCATAGACTTTAATCTCAAAGGGCTCCCCGAGGCCCCTCTGGCTGCTGCGCAAGGGGCCATCCACCCAGCGGAGGCTTGTGCTGTTGGTGGGTTTTCTCACCGGGGAGGAGGTGTCCAGGGACAGTGCTGGGATGAGCCTCCGTCTCTGAGAACCTGAGGAGGAGATTAAGCCCAAAGAGGAGTTAATCTTTCTGAATGTATTTTTTTTTTTTTTTGAGACAGGGTCTTGCTCTGTGGTCCAGGCTGGAGTGCAGTGGTGTGAACACAGCTCACTGCAGCCTTGAATTTCTGGGCTCAAGCAATTCTCCTGTCTCACCCTCCTAAGTAGTTGTGACCACAGGTGCATAGTGTCATACCCAGCTATTTAAAACAAATTTTTTTTTTTTTTTTTTTGTAGAGACAAGGTATCACTATATTGCCCAGGCTGGTCTCAAATTCCTGGCTTCAAGTGATCCTCCCACCTTAATCTCCCAAAGTGCTGGGATTACAGGTGTGAGCCGCTACACCTAGCCTGAATTTCAATTTTTTGTTTTTGTTTTTGAGACAGAGTGCAATGGTGCCATCTTGGCTCACTGCAACCTCCGCCTCCTGGGTTCAAGTGACTCTCCTGCCTCAGCCACCCGAGTAGCTGGGATTAAACATGCCCACCTCCACACCCAGCTAATTTTTGGTTTTTCATATAGACAGGGTTTCACCATGTTGGCCAGGATGGTCTTGAACTCTTGACCTCAAATGAACCACTTGTCTGAGCTTCTCAAAGTGCTGGGATTACAGGCATGAGCCACTGTGCCTGGCCAAAATTTCAGTGTTTAGAGCCCAGATCTTTATCTTGTGTATACACATACACAGTTGTATTTAGCTTCCAGCGAAGTGCAGGCCCCGACTAATGAAACTGAGAAACCCCAACCCACTGGAAGAAAGCAAGCGTGTCTCCTGCTTGGCTAAGACATTCGCCATGAGAAACACCAGGTCATAGTTGTTTTTCTCCTTTAAGTCGGACTGATCAAGGTAGCTGACTATGAGCAAACTGTTTTGTGTGCCTCAACTCTGGCGTCTATCATGTGGCAGGAACCTGTGAAACAGCTGGGAAGCCACAGAAGGTATTCGCTTCTGTCTGACAGGGATGAGTGAGGCAGTGAGCGTCCGAGCGTCCCCAGGGAGAGTAGTCAGGAGTCCAGGTGGCTCTCACTCCTCTAGGCTGCAAACATTCAGGAAGTGGCTGTTATACCCTTTTTTCTTGGTTTGATCAAAGTGTACTCAGACCATAGAGACAGTAACTGGCCCTCCTCCTCACCTACTCTGGCCCTGAGGATACGGTCAAGAGATATCCCCCCTCTAAAACTGAAGTCAGTATGTAATAGAGACTCTCTCCTGCTTCAGCCCAAGCTGGGCTCCCTCAGACAGGCTCAGGAATCTCTGGGATGATTCTTCAAGGATCTGTTTGAATGAGAAATAGGGGAGGAGCTGAGGAGAGCCATGGGAGGGGATAGTGTATTAGTTATCTACTGCTGTGTAACAAATGAACCCCAAACCCAGCAGCTAAACAGGAAACATGTATTTCACATAGTCCTGTGGGTTGGGAATCTGGGAGCAATTTTTGCCAGGTGGTTGTGGCTCAGGGCCTCTCAGGAGTCACAGGGAGGCTGTCAGCTGTGGCTGCACTTGACTGAGGCTGAAGCTTCTGTTTCTAAGCTCACTCATGACATCATGGTAGGAGGCCTTAGTTCACTGCCATGCAGATCTCTCCAAAAGACTGTGTATGACCTGGCAGCTGGCTTCTTCCAGAGGGAGAACCCAAGAATGCCAGAGGGCCACCCAGCACAGTAGCTGCAGTGTCTGACTTCCTCTTGAAAGTGACATGCCATCACTCTGCCTTATCCCACTGGACACAGAGACAAACTCTGGTAAATAGGGGAGGGGACTACTCAAGGGTGTGAATACCTGGAGGCAGAGACAGGGGGCCATCATGGAGCCTGGCTTCCATGGATGGGATATGATCTGACGGGAAAGTATCTTGGATGAGGGCCACCCTCAATCTCCTGCCGATACCATTGCCAGGGGACCCTGTGAGACGGGAGTAGAGGAAGTGAAAACACTGAGAGTGACACTACACTGGGCTACAACAGCTTCCTAGAAAGATCCTGAAGGGTCCGTAATCCCCGATGCCTCCGTTCCATGCCATCTAGCAACCGTGAACCTGGTGGGTCCCAAATCCCCATTGCCGCCTTTCCATGCCATCTAGCAACCTTAAACCTGGTGGGTACCTAATCCCGGTTGCCTCCGTTCTATGCCATCTAGCCACCCTGGACCTGGTGGGTCCCTAATCCCCGTTGCCTCTGTTCCATGCCATCTAGCAATCTTGAACCTGGTGGGTACCTAATCCCCATTGCTGTCATTCCATAACAGTTAGCAATCTTGAACCTGGTGGGAACCTAATCCCCATTGCCTCCATTCCATGCCGTCAAACAACCTTGAACCTGGTGGGTACCTAATCCCCGTTGCCGTCTTTCAATGCCATCTAGCAACCTTGAATCCAGTGGGTCCCTAATCCCCGTTGCCTTTGTTCCATACCTGCTAGCACCCTGGAACCTGGTAGGTACCTAATCACAGTTGCCTCCGTTCTATGCCATCTAACAACCTTGAACCTGGTAAGTACCTAAACCCCATTGGCGTCTTTCCATGCCATCTAGCAACCTTGAAACTGGTGGGTACCTAATCCCCATTACCGCCATTCCATGCCATCTAGCAACCTTGAACCTGGTGGGTACCTAATCCCCGTTGCCGTCTTTCAATGCCATCTAGCCACCTTAAATGTGGTGGATACATAATCCCCGTTGCCTCTGTTCCATGCCATCTAGCAACCTTAAACCTGGAGGGTACCTAATCCCCGTTGCCGTCTTTCCATGCAATCTAGAAACCTTGAACCTGGTGGGTACTTAATCCCCGTTGCCTCCGTTCCATGCCATCTAGCAACCTTGAACCTGGTGGGTCCCTAATGCCCATTGCCTCCGTTCCATGCCATCTAGCAACCTTGAACCTGGTGTGTCCCTAATCCCCATTGCCTCTGTTCCATGCCATCCAGCAACCTTGAACATGGTGGGTCCCTAATCCCCATTGCCTCCATTCCATGCTATCTAGCAACCTTGAACCTAGTGGGTCCCTAATCCCCAATGCCGTCTTTCCATGCCATCTAGCAACCTTGAACCTGGTGGATACCTAATTCCCGTTGCCTCCATTTGATGCCATCTAGTAACCTTGAACCTGGTGGGTCCCTAATCCCCGTTGCCTTTGTTCCATGCCTTCTAGCACCCTTGAAACTGGTGGGTACCCAATACACATTGCCTCCGTTACACACTATCCAGCAACCTTGAACCTGGTGGGTACCTAATCCCCATTGCCCCCGTTCCATGCCATCTAGCAACCTTGAGCCTGGTGGGGCCCTAATACCCATTTCCTCCATTCCATGCTATCTAGCAACCTTGAGCCTGGTGGGTATCTAATCCTGTTGCCTCCGTTCCATGCCATCTAGCAACCTTGAACCTGGTGGGTACATAATCCCCGTTGCCTCCGTTCCATGCCATCTAGCAATCTTGAATCTAGTGGGTCCCTAATCGCCGTTGCCTCTGTTCCATGCCATCTAGCAACCTTGAACTTCGTGGGTAGCTAATCCCTGTTGCCATCTTTCCATTCCACCTAGCAACGTTGAACCTGCTGGGTACCTACTCCCCGTTGCCTCTGTTCCATGCCATCTAGCAACTTTGAACCTGGTGGGTACTTAATCCCCATTGCTGTCTTTCCATGCCATCTAGCAACCTTGAACCTGGTGGGTACCTAATCCCCATTGCCTTTGTTCCATGCCAACTAGCAACATTTAACCTGGTGGTTCCCTAACCCCCATTACCATCTTTCCATGCCATCTAGCAAGCTTGAACATGGTGGGTCCCTAATTCTTGTTGCCTCCGAAGTTCCATGCCATCTAGCAACCTTGAACCTGGGGAGTACCTAATCCCCATGCCTCCGTTCCATGCCATCCAGCAAGCTTAAACCTGGTGGGTACCTAATCCCCGTTGGCTATGTTCCATGCCATCTAACAACCTTGAAGATGGTGGGTACCTAATCCCTCTTGCCGTCTTTCAATGCCATCTAGCCACCTTGAACTTGGTGAGTACCTATTACCCGTTGCCTCAGTTCCATGCCATCTAGCAAACTTAAACCTGGTGGGTACCGAATTCCCATTGCCTCCATTCCATGCCATCTAGCAACCTTGAACCTGGTGTGTCCCTAATCCCCGTTGCCTCTGTTCCATGCCATCTAGCAACCTTGAACCTGGTGGGTAGCTAATCCCCATTGCCATCTTTCCGTGCCATCTAGCAACTTTGAACCTGGTGGGTACCTACTCCCCATTGCCTCCGTTCCATGCCATCTAGCAACCTTGAACCTGGTGTGTCCCTAATCCCCGTTGCTGTCTTTCCATGCCATCTAGCAACCTTGAACCTGGTGGTACCCAATCCCCATTGCTGTCTTTCCATGCCATCAAACAACCTTGAACCTGGTGGGTGCCTAATCCCCGTTGCCTTTGTTCCATTCCAACTAGCAACAGTGAACCTGGTGGTTACCTAATCCCCATTACCATCTTTCCATGCCATCTAGCAACCTTGAACTTGGTGGGTCCCTAATCCCCATTGCCTCCGTTCCATGCCATCTAGCAAGCTTGAACATGGTGAGTCCCTAATCCTCGTTCCCTCCATTCCATGCCATCTAGCAACCTTGAACTGGTGGGTACCTAATTCCCATGCCTCCGTTCCATGCCATCCAGCAACCTTAAACCTGGTGGGTACCTAATCCCCGTTGCCTCCGTTCCATGCAATCTAGCAACCTTGAACCCGGTGGGTCACTAATCCCCATTGCCTCCGTTCCATGCCATCTAGAAACCTTGAACCTGGTGGGTACGTAATCCCTGTTGCCTCCATTCCATGCCATCTAGCAACCTTGAACCTGGTGGGTCCCTAATCCACGTTGCCTTTGTTCCATGCCATCTAGCCACCTTGAACTTGGTAGGTACCTAATTCCCATTGCCATCCTTCCATGCCATCTAGCAACCTTGAACCTAGTGGGTACCTAATCCCTGTTGCCTCCGTTTGATGCCATCTAGC